GACACACATTGAATCCTCCTTCATATAGTGTTCTCTTTGTGCCAGACCCTCTTCTACGTCCTTACATCTACTAGCCCATGTAAACTTCACAACCCTTGGATGGGGCCTATCACTACCTCCATTTTACAGATGAGGAAGCTTTGGCACATGTAGGTTATGTGACTTGCCAAAGGCCACATAGCTGGAAAAGAGCAGAGTCCAGACTCAATAACATGCCATCATGGATCTAATCAAATTTGATAACATGCAGGCCAGAGAGCATGTGGACGGATCTGGGCTGTGGCAGCCATTTTGAAGCCTGTGGTTTATGTGTGAATCGGGAAGTTCTGGGGAAGAGGCAGGCACGAGGCAGGGTACTGAACCTTGGCTCATAGATGGGCAGGATCTTGAGAGCATCATGTCCACCCTTCTCTCCCATTTTATAGATGAGGAAAGCCAGAGGAAAGAGGCTTTTCCCAGGGGCACCACGGTTCAGGCCCCTGGCCCACCCATCTCTTTATAGGCTCGTCACTTGAATCTATGTCCTGGGAACCAGGAACCAAGACGCCTAAAGGATGAAAGCCCCCATGGTTCAAATCTGAAGGAGAGAGAGAGGAAGACTCTGTAGTGGAGGTAGGACAGTTAAGTTTAGGTCTCCTCTTCTCTGGATGCCTGTCTCCAGGTTGGGCCATGCTGGACTGGGGAGCAGCAGACACTGACGTAGTCTGGATCAAAAACCTCCTTCCAGCCTCTCTCAGGAACATGGTGCTGACCAGGGTGCTGAACCTCTATGGAGGCGCCCTCCTCTTAGACCTCCATAACTGTCAGGAGTAGCGTTGAGTGGAAACTTTCAATGGCTCACGCCTGTAATCCTAGCACTCTGGGAGGTCAAGGTGGGTGGATTGCTTGAGCTCAGGAGTTCGAGACCAGCCTGAGCAAGAGCAAGATCCTGTCTCTAAAAATAGGTGGGCACTGTGGCTGGCACCCATAATCCCAGCTACTTGGGAGGCTCACTTGAGCCCAAGAATTTACCTCAATTCTGTTGCTATGAGACAAAGAGAAAGAAAAGAAAAGAAAAGAAAAGAAAAGAAAAGAAAAGAAAAGAAAAGAAAGAAAAAAGAGAGCGGTGCCTGTGGCTCAAAGGAGTAGGGGGCCGGCCCCATATGCTGGAGGTGGCAGGTTCAAACCCAGCCCCAGACAAAAAGTGCAAAAAAAGAAAAAGAAATTGGAGCCAGGGGATTGGGAAAGTCACTTACTCGATGCCCCTCAACCTGCTTTTCACCTGATAGGTGGAGAAGAGTAGTCCCTATCCTACTCAACTCAGAGGGCTGAGGTGAGCATCATTTGAGGCCAGGTGACAAAGCCCTGCACAGAGCCCAAGCCCATCCCTGTGGCCCAGAGAAGGCTCTTGGGAGCTCATCCACACAGAGGGACTTCATGGGCCTGTTTCTTCCCCTATGGAATGGAGGTTGTGCTAGGTGGTTTCAGATCCTCTTCTAGCCATGGTACTCCAGGCACTGTGACTATAGGTGGAAATCTTGGAAACGTGAGGCACACTTTGCAAGCAGCACTGATTTAGGAGTCTTAGACAGACCATCCTGAAGATAGACCAATGCTGAACAAAGACCAGCATTGTTTGCTTCTCACATAGTCCTCACTTGGTTTTCCAGTATCCAGAATGGGTTTTGCTCAGGGATCCATGCTCCTTACCTGCATATAGCAATTCTACTGAAAAGAGCAGAACAGGCTGATCTGCCATCCGATCACAGTTCTACCACCGCTAGGGGTTACGTCCAGCACCTTGCCGAATGCCACTAAGAGTTTACCTTGGCATTGTTAGGATACTACATGAGATGAGAGTCTAGCACACAGCGGGCACCAGATAAATTTTTATTTCCTGTATTGGGGAGCAGCTCAAGCTTCTTCTCCTCTTGTCCTTGAACCCTACCCACATATTTCCATATAGCTTCATTAATAATAGTGGCTAGCCACAACCACCAGGCCTCAACTATCTATTAAAAAGACATGTGTTTGGTTGGACCTTGCAATAATCCTGCAGGTCAGGATAGTGGTCATGAGCAAGTTCACACAGTGGTGAGGGGAGGGCTAGGAACCATACTCATGCCTGACTGATTCTAAGGCCCCTACTTGGCCTTGAGCAAGCTACTGGACTTTTCCAAACCCTCTTTTTCTAGTCTAGGAAATGGGAATAATGCCTCATTATGGCTATGATTCAAAGATAATATTCTATCTTATAAAGGCACTGCTTTTCTAAAGACAGATGAAATACATTGAGTGACCCAGAGCGGCAAAGGAATGGAGAGGACACTGGAGGTAAAAAAATCAAAGAAAACTTGAAAGAGTTTTCTCTTACATGTATTCATCATAATGTGCCACCAACCAAGAAGCTGACTCAATTCTTTGTACCTGATATCCAGGTGAAGGAAAAAGACATACACTTTGTACACCTGAACTTCTCAAACTTTAATGTACACACAAATCACATGGAGAACTTGTTAAAATGCAGATTCTCAGTAAGTTGGAGTGGGCCTTGAGGTTCTGCATTTCTAACAGGTTCCCAGGTGATGCTGCTGCTGCTGGTGGTCTGAAAAGCAAGGACGTGGAAGGTTTTTCCTTCCTTTCTCAGTTCTCAAACTTGTGATCATATGAGCCAGAAGAGGAACTTGTAAAAATGGTTTTGAAGGCCTTGAACTGGGGCATACATTAACATGTACTCAGAGAAGGACCTCAGGCATGCAAGGCTGTGACAGCGTCTATATCATGGTCCCAGGCACAGACAGACACGGGAGATTGGCTCACCATACCTTTGCAATGCCCCTCCCTGAATATAGAGGTGGGAAGACGGAATAAAAATATTGTCCCAAGATTCCTTGCCACTATGGTTTGAGAGACAATGTAGATTCCAACAATCCCATACATTCAAAGTTGGGACTGAGCTGAGTGGGATCAAGATGGTAGTAAGGCAGGCATCCACTTTCTGGTGCAGAGCTGTCAGCAGTTTCTGTGTGGCTCTAGACTTCCTATTCCCCAGATCATGGCAATGATGATGTGATCCTGCTGCTCTCTGGGTCCTATCTTTTTGGTTAAAAAAGCTAAATTGTTTATTTACTGCAGCTGAACCCCAGGACTAACACTTCAGCAGGACCCTCCCACTCCCTCATCCCTAAGTCTGTCATACTGACTCTTCTAACACTCATCTTATGTGGTTCATCTAGAATACAGCTATTCACATGGTCAACCAGTGTTTTCTACACCATCAGCTTCATGTCCCTCTGAGCAGGAACTGGCTCTTCCCCTTTGCACTTCCTACCAGTGGTCTTCCCTCAGTCACCTGGGCCTTGCCACCTCCCACTGCTCACCATCCTGCCTGCCACCCTTGCCTCTCACCCAAGGTTCAGGGTAGATTCAGGGCCAAGCACAGCTTGGAGTGACTAAGGTTGTGCCTTGTGTTATCCTAAAGGCAATCAAGAGCTGGGGCTTTGCCTGCCTTGGAGTCTACTTTGGTGCAAAAAGTTGATAGTGACCTCTATGCATTCAAGTGTTATTGACAGAGAAAACGGGGGATATGCATGTAGGGAATCTTTCCTTTCCTTGGTAGTGAGACTTGTCTCATTAGAACTGTACCAAAGTAGACAAGATAAGGTAATCAAAAATGTGAAATTTTCTACAGATTCCAATTTTCTTCCTGGGAAGAGGGGCATGGATCAGTAATAGATGATGTTAGAAAGGGAGGCCATGAGGGAAGCTAGGTTCCAAAGAGTGAGGGTGTGTGGGACTTACTAGCCATTTTCTAACTATATGTCAATAGGTACTGACCATTCAGCAAAGGAATGTAGTCTCTACTGTAAGCATAAGAGACTCATGATAAAACCTCATTAATCGGTAGATAAATGCAGGGAGAAACATAGCCGGCCTTTAAGCACTGGGAAGGAGATTAGCCGAGGAGCAGAAGGTGGGATGTAGGGGCTTAAACAGCCCAAGTGAACTATGGCATTTCAGCATTAAAAGACAGTGATTTAGAACCAGACTTTTGCTCTACCTTTAAAGTCAATGGATAAACAATGACCAAAGTGATGCTGTAAATCTCTCTAGACCAGTGATTTTCAACCGATGTGCCACAGCACACTGGTGTGCTATAAGAGGATAGGTGTGCCGTGAAAATTTTTAAAGATCATTAATTTATTTTCAAAAACAGTTCAAAGCACAGTAAGTATATATATTTTTTGGATCAATGTAATTTAAGCGTGCCTTGGAAATTTAACTATAGGTTCAAGTGTGCCGTAAGATTAAAAAAGGTTGAAAAACACTGCTCTAGACCTAGAAGGGTCATGGGAACTTCCCTAGAGACGATGTGCCCTATATCACACGCAGCCCAGAACCATCCCCTAAAGTCAAACCCAACTCCTTTGTAGCTCATCGGTGATGGTCATCAGAAGGTGGATATTATCAAAACCATAGTCTTCTCTCCAAGGGGGATTGGCTCTGGTCTCTGCCTCGCTTGGTCTAAGTCAAAATTCTCCCACTTAAAAAAATGGAGGACAAAACCACTACGATGGCTATAGAATGGTACTAGAATGGCTATAAGCATGAAGCATAACAAGTGTTGGTGAGGATGTGGAGAAACTAGAACCTCACACATTACTGGTGGGAATGGGAAATGATGTGGCTACTGTGAAAAACGGCCTGGCAGTTCCTCAAAAAGTAAAACATAGAGTTATCAGGTGATCCAGCAATCACAATCCTTGGTACAGACTCAAGTGAAGTGAAAACATCTGTCTACACAAAACCTTGTACATGAATGTTCATAGCAATATTATTTATAATATAGCTGAAAAGCAGAAACAATCCAACTGCTCATCAACTGATAAATGGATAAACAAATGTAACACGTCCACACAATGTATCATTCAGCCATAGAAAGGAATGAAATACTGCTACCTGCTTGTGAATGAATCGTGAAAATATTATGCTAAATGAAAGAAGCCAGACACCAAAGGCCATGTATCAAGTGATTCCATTTATGACAACTGTCCAGAATAGGCAGATCTTTAGAGATAGAGGTTAGTGGTTGCCTGGGGCAGGGAGAAGGGGAATGGGGTGTCACTGCTAATGGATATGAAGTTTCTTTTTGAGGTGGTAAAAATGTTCAGGAATTATATATGGTGATGGATGTACAACACTGTGAATATACCGAATTGTATACCTTAAAAGGGTGAACTTTTAAGGGTATATGAATTATATCTCAGTAAAGCTGTTATTTAAAAAAAAAGGAATCAGTTATTAAGTGCTGATGTTTATTGTTAAGGCTCCAATCTTTTTGGTTCTACAACACATACACCTGAAATATTTCCACTTGCTGCTTAGTGATTACTCATATCTGAAAGGAGAGAAGTGGCCCAAACCAAAACAAGCTTGGCCTGGAAGTTCCTCAGGCCCCACTTACTTCCCACCATACAATGTCTAACACACCATCTATGCTCCTCCATGTCCTTGATGCAAGGAGACACCCACAAAAAAACGGCTGATTCTGCAGATGAATCACTACATTTTCTGTTTCCAGAAAACAGAATTATGTATATGACTATTTTTTTGACCTGAGAAAATCTCAGTGGCAAATTGTCTTTTCCTCAAACCTCAGCGTTGTAAGTTATATACTTTCTTCACTCTGGTGGTCTCTAGTCTGATATCCCTTTCAATGCTTCCTTTTATAATAAAGGATGTTTTTATGAGAACATATTCTAAGTCCTTTCGGTTGAAGGTATGGTCCAATTCTGAAACAAAAACTAACATTCCATTCATCTGCCAGCCCTCAAGGACGAAGGTGACGATCAGTGACTGCATTTGCACCTTGGCCTCATCTCTGGGTCTTTCTCCAGAACAAAGATTTTCTACAGGCTTCAAAGTGGTCAGCTCCTCTGACTCTGGGGTCTTTTACTAAATCAGCAATAGGCATGGGTCTGCCAGAAATCCCTAGGGAGGTTCTCATGCCAGCCTTTCCACCTAGGCACAGCCTTCATCTGAGACCCTAGGCTTCAGTGTCAGGTTAGTTTACCCCTACTCATTCTCACCTGAGCAATCAATCTTAGGCTATAGAAAATAGCTTCGCAGACACCTCAGAAAAGCTATGGTAGTCTGCTGCCTATGGCTAAGTCATACATTCTAATTTAGGAAGAGAATCCAAAGAGTAGAAAAATAAATGGACCCGCCATGGATGAAAGGCTAGCGGTGGAGTGGAAGTAACTAGTGCCTTGATTCTGTGCCTCAGCCTGGTGCTCTATGATGCTCTTTCCACTCCAGCACAAGGGCTCATCATTGCCCACGTCTGTCAGGCCTAAGGCTGAAAAGATCCAGAGAACACCAATGGTCAGGTGAGCCTGGACACAGGGCATAGGCTTCCAGAGGCTGGGGCTCCCTGCTCCTCCCAAAGTTCAGCACCACACTCAGATGGGGACCCCACGTTCCTGTGCTCTTGTCTGGGTCCTCAGGGGGCCAAGAAACAGAGTTACAGACTCTGCAGGTTAAGTACCAAATAATTTCCCGGAACCTTCATTCTTTTCCTTTTGCCCAGTCTCTAGGGGTTGCCATATAGAGAAAGAGACATTGGAATGTTTTAGAGCAGGAAAGGTGCCTCTCATTTTGTAGGCAGGCACAAGGACCTAAGAAAAGGGACTTGCTCAGGGTCAATCAGTAAGTTAGTGGCAAAATGAGGTTAGTGTTCAGGTCTGTTTGGTTTATTCCTCTGCTTACAGGCTGCTTCTGCCCAGGCACAGATGGACCCAGAGGACTAGCCCAAACAGGAACAACTAGAGGCCTCATCAGAGTGATGCCATCTTTCCACAATGTGTCTGCCCTTGTGAAAGTCATCCTGTGGCCTATAGGATTTCCAGTCATTCATTTACATCCATGTAGCTGGACTGGGATCCATCTATGTGATGTCAAGAGCAATAGCAATTTATCAAAGAAAAGAGCCTAAGAAGCAAGAATGGGCCCTTGGGCAAGAAAAGAGTCATTAAGCCCTAAAAAGACTCAAACTCTGAAGTCTACCCTGGAAGGGGCTGTGCAGTAAAGTAAAAAGAAAAGTGGGAGAATGGCAACATGAATTTTGTATTGACATTTGGTTCTTAATAATAACATTCAAAATGCATTCTGTTCTTATAGTGCTGCAGCTGCGACTGCATCAGGTCAAGGGTATATGTTGCCGAGGTCTCCCTTGGGAAGTGGAGAGGAGCTGGTGGTGAGAGACACACTGATTTCTCTTTGGGACCTATATGCAGCCAGGTGGAAAGCTGCAGCAGGTGCCTTGGCTCTGGTAAGGGGTGGGGAAGCAATCCCAGCCAGGCTGCAAACGCAGGGGCAGAGTCCCTCGCCCCCAGCCTGCAAGAACACGGCTGTTGGTGGGGCCAGCGGTGGCAGCTCCAGGAGAATGGAGGGAAGGCTGGGATGTTACATTCTTGAGGCCTTCACAGGTACATGTCATCGTAGCCCGGTGGGGGGAGATGGTCGGGGTTAGGTCTGGAATGGAAAGAGGGGCTGATGAGTCGCAGTGATGGACAGGCCAGGGGCACACAGGCAGATGTGACCCTTTTTGAGGGAGTCTGCCCTCCAGAATGATGTGTTGACATGGGGAGTTTAAGCATATGCACTTGAGAGCCAGACAACCTGGGTTAGACTCCCCTAGGCGTCTTTGAGATAAGTTACCTACTTTTTTAGGGCTTCAATTTCTGGATCTGTGAAATCTGGACAGTACTATCTACCCTAGACAGTTGATATAAGCATTCAGTGAGTTTCTTTCTCATACTTAACTTTCAAGAACTGTTAGTTCTTCCTCCTCCTGAGTCTTCCTCCCTGGAGGAAAGCTGGGGGAAGGGAGGGACTAGGGATAGGGAGCTCCTAGAATGCTCTAGGGAGACATCAGCCAGGGGCCTAAAGGAGATGACTCTCTTGGCAGCAACAGGTAGAGGGAGAGGCAGCTCTGCACCTGGGCTCAGAGAATTTCTTTGCTGAAGGCAGGTCCTACTTCTCAGCATACCTCAGTGACTACCTACCCAGATGGGCTGGTCCCAATGGGTCCAAAGGGGTCAAAGCGAGCTCCTGGGGGCACAGCGCCTGGAGGAAGCCGATTTGGGAGGCCTGAGGATGGGTCAATAAGTGCTCTTGGGAAGCCAGACCTCAGGGGATCCACAATCATGCCACCTCTCCGACACCTGAGGCAAGAAGGAAAACTAGGTAAGCAGGTGTAGCAGGGACTGCCACTAGAGAAGAGGCAAGGGAGGCAAGCAGGGACTAAGAACGACTGGCTGTCTACTCTGGATGGTCCATGCAGACACATGGATGGCTGCCTGGATGCCACCAGGAAGTGGGCAAGAGAAAGAAGCCTGTACAATAAACACACCTCAGTGCTAAGTACTTCTGGTTCTGTAGTGCTTGGTTACATAAGGTTCCCTGAGCCCACAAATCTGGCATTCTTGCCCTGTCCTATACCCAAAAGAGGTCAATTTGATTAGGAACAGGTCAATTTGATCTGGGTCAATTTGACCCAGAACTTGCCTGGGTCAATGCAGAATCTTCACAAGGCTCTGTAGGGCAATATTCTAGGTCTAAGGGCTAATAATAGCATTGAGACAATTCATGATGCTAGTTTTTTGTTTTTTGGGTTTTTTTGCTTTCTTTACCTTAAAGGCCTCAGGGTAATTTCTGATTACCTATGGATTGCCCAAGTACTGTTCCTGATAGCATCTGTCCCTCACTGAGTTCGATGGACCTGACCTCATGTGCTCAAACTAAGATGAATGAGCTTATGTTCCCTAAATTTTGAGGTCATTTTTCAAGCTGCACTGTGGACTTAAGTGATTTCCCCACTGTCAAAGCTGAAGGGCAGCACCTGTGGCTCAGAGGAGTACAGTGCCGGCCCCATATACCGGAGGTGGCGGGTTCAAACCCAGCCCCAGCCAAAAACTGCAAAATAAATAAATAAAAAATAAAAATAAGCTGAAGATGGGGTCACTCTGCAGCAGAGGTTACAATCCAGTTTCAATGATTAAGGGAAGATGGTACACAGCTGAGGCTCTAAGGCAGGGGTCCTCAAACTACGGCCCACAGGCCACATACAGCCCACTCAGGACATTTATCTGGCCCACCAGCTGTTTTTGCCGCTGCTGCCTGTCCTGCTTAGCAGCTGACTCATCCCAGGGCCTGCAGTCCAGCCTTCCAACTGTCTGAGGGACAGTGAACTGGCCCCCTGTTTAAAAAGTTTGAGGACCCCTGCTCTAAGGTCTTTGTTAGATGTAGGAGAAGAACCCGAGAGCCCTGTCTTTATTAAAGTGAGCTCTGAATAGCCCTGAGCTCCCTAAGGTCTGTGGCCCACCAGACCTGATAAATCCTGTGGTATCCTCTATCCAAGGGAGGGCTGCTGTCCTCCACTAGGTGGGTGAGGCATCTGGGAAATGACAGAGGAGCCGCCTGCTGGCTTGCTCAGCTTGCCCCCAACACCCAGAGATCTCCGGCACTGCTCTTAGTATGGCAGAGCACAGTAAGCGGCAGTGATTTCTCAGCCACTCAGCAATGACTGCCTCCTCACCCCAAAGGAAGACACTGATGAAAAACTCTAAAATTAGAAGATGACTGGGGCTCAAAAGTCACAAAAGCAAGTTGTGTTGTTATCACCTACCCAGCAGTACTCACCCAAAGGGGTCTAGGTCTTCTCCCCCGACAGCAAATGGGCCCAGGGGATCAAACCTGAAACAAACAAGGGACAATTACTGCAAGTCACAGAGCAGCCAGCAGCTGAACTCCCAGGAGCCTGAACCTGATGCCTATAGGGTCACAAATGCACTCCTAGGCATGGAGGACAGGGGAAACCCCTACATGAGATCATAACACAAGGGATATTTCAGAGTGGTCTGTGGCCTAGTGTGACACTGATAATTATGTGCAATTAACATTGGTAATTATGTGAAAAGGGCGAAACACAAAACCCAAATCATGGAAGATTCCAATATGTATAAAGATAAAAATATTAACTGCAGATGGATTTTATTTTATTCACACATTTGTTAAATTTCTCAATTCTATGTAAGTAACCAAGAAATTTTGTATCAGAAAAATATCATTCGAAGACCAAAAACCAAGACCTCAAGGTTAAGATTTAAAAGCTGCCAGGGTAGAGTGACACAGATGCATGAAGGCACATCCAGCTACAACAGTGCTTCCCAACCTTTTGTCATATGGCCCCAGTATGAAGTTTTAGTACCGCAGTTCATACACTGTACCCGGCTGGAGGGGGACAAACCATTGTAACCTCTAGGACAAACCCCCCTTGCCTTGCCATCACCAGTTTTTGTGATCACTGAGAATGCATGAACTAGAAGGAGCGTAAATGAGAGCACGCATGCCAGAGAACAATTCTACATTCTCTAATACCTGTATACACACACACACAACGTAACCTACCACTCCAAAGTCATATACCTCTATATTCTTTGATCTAGTAGGTTAATGTTTAGCTATCCATCTTAAAGAAAGAATATAGATTTCAAATTAAAATATGCCCAGAGCCAGGCATGGTAACTCATGCCTGTAATCCCAGCACTTGGGAAGCTAAGGCGGGTGGATTGCCTGAGCTCACAGGCTCGAGACCAGCTTGAGCCTGAGCCAGAGCCAGACCTCGTCTCTAAAAATAGAGACATTGTGGCCGGTGCTTGTAGTCCCAGCTACTGGGGAGGCTGAAGCAAGAGAAACGCTTAAATTTGAGGTTGCTGTGAACTATGACACCCCCACACTCTACCAATGGTGAGAAAGTGAGACTGTCTCAAAAAAAAAAAAAAAAAGCCCACAGAAACTTTAATCAAAGAAACTGGAATCAGCCTAAATGGGTATCGCTTAGGTACTCATGGTATATCCCTAGTGCAGCCACGGAAACAGGAAACAATATTCTTAGACTATTTTGAAAACGATGTGGAAAAATGCTCACGCTCTAGCATGGGGGAAGGAAGATTATCAATAGCTTAGGGAAAGCAACTGTGAAAAATGCATGGATGTGTATAAATAAAACTAAAAATGAAGCATGCTGAAAGTGTAAACACAGACAGTTACTTCTGAGTGGTGAGTTTCTTCTTTATACTTCATTTCTTTTGTAAAGGATATGGGCATATGTACAATAAAATAAATGAGCATTTTTAAAAGTATGCTTTGTGGCCAAATGCAGTGACTCATGCCTGTCATCCTAGCCACTCTGGTAGGGAGGACTGATTGAGGCTAGGAGTTAAGAGACCAGTGGAAAGAGTGAGACCTGACTTGAGAGCGAGACCCCATCTCTACAATTAAAAAAAAAGAAAAATTAGCTGGGTATGGTGGTGCACATCTATAGTCTCTGTTACTTGGGAGGCCAAAACCTATAGGCTCAGCTACTTGGGAGGTAAGGCAGGATGATCACTGGAGCCCAGGAGTTTGAGCCTACGGTAAACTATAATATGATGACGCCATTGCACTCTAGCCCAGACAACAGAGCAAGACTGTGCAAAAGGAAAAAAAAGTGTGCTTTGGAATCACTACTTGGAGCAGTAACAAAAACCTGACAGTTCTGGGGTACAGGTAGGTCTTGCCTTATAAAAAGCAGCTAATCTAAGCTTATAGGTAAGAGTCCATTAGAGAACTGGGAAAAACCCCAAAACATCAGTCAGTTCTACCTAATGGGCCAGTAAGGATTCTGTGAGGTAAGTAGACAAGGCCAGGTTCCCAAGGGAAGGAATTTTTCCTGACCTAGGTTACTATTTCCAAGTCATGTTTCCTGGAGCCAGTAGTCAAAGTTTCTGGTGTTCTCAGACCTCCTGCCTCACTAGACGCAGATGAGGTGGTGCCAGCAGGCATCTTACCTACTTCCATGAGGTGAGCCCCCCTCCCTACAAAGCAGAAAATAGAGGGGGTTTAGTGGCTGTTAGAATGTCAGATACAACGAGCCTTGATTGTTCCTGAAATTTGCAGCCATCTCTATTTTCCTCTCTGGACCAGAGTGTGGGAGGAGGGAAAAAAGCGGAGAACAAAAAAGGCTAGAAAGGCAGCTGGAAGGCCCACCCCAATAATTTGTGCACTCAAAACTGTCACAGCATATTCAGCAGGCTCACTGCAACACACGCACACTTCTGTGACTCATCATGTACACACTTAGAATCCACTGAAAATAGCACAGGGGTCCGGCTTTCTCTCCAAAGGCCCCTTGGCTGAGTCTCAGTCTTGGATGTACTCAATAAAGCTGTAGGGCATCTTTTAAAAGTCAGTTTTGTACACAGCCTCTGTACTCAAGCACCTGCTACTTCATTTGGTAATCAACTGAAGGAAAGAGTGAGCCATGCTAACCCTGCAGGAAAAACTGCATGGCTGGGCCCACTGGAGCAGTATGTCCTGGGGGCAAAGTGGCCCCTTTAAAGGATGGGAGGGTTATCTTGGAACATGTACAATTTCCTCCTTATAAGCTCTGCTCCCCCTTTCTCTTATATAAGAACACCACACTTCCCTTAGGCACACAAATTTAGCTGACATCCTTCTAATGGCTGAGGTGGCCTGGTGAACTATTGATAGAGAGGCCTCAGGATGGCAGTCAGCAGATGTGCTCCGGACTTTGGGTTTGGGATTATCTAGCTAGTTGGTGGGGTCTGACACAAAACTTCTGTACTTCAGTCTTTTAAAAGATAAAACTTAAGAAGTATCTCTCACAGGAGCTGCCATGATGGTAAAATGCAGTTTTGGACACAAACAGATTTGTTGACAGGAAAGGCCTGGAAGAACTGAATAACAGCAGCCGCTGCTATTTACTGAGAGCTTGCTGTATGTCAGATGCTGTGCCAAATTTAGGGTTTTTTAAATTTAGTTTTTAAAAGATTAATTTTTAAAATTTAACTTTCTGAAGTAATGCACTCACCAGTTTGAAAATTCATGAAAAAAGGTATATAGGTCCATAATCTTAGGCTATGTCTGTTTTAGAATTTAGTATTTTTCATATTTTAGAAAAGTTAGATGGAATGTATTTTGCGTAATACACCCAAGAAGCACTTTGTAACCAATGCTCTAAGACTTCTGCAAAATGACTGGATATTAACACTTCAGTGGGATAAATGAAATATATAAGGAACTTTGCACCATTTCAGGTTAGGTTTTGCCACAAAGCTTACAAAGCAAACACCTGAGAGCTCTTGTGATTTCAGAATTGTATAAGATTGTGGACTTGTAATAGTCAAAAATCTTCTTCTTATCCCTGTCTCCCAGCCCACCAGTCTTCCCAAAGATAAGTAATAACACCAGTTTCTTACATGTTGTTCCAAAGATATTCTGCATTTATGAGCAAATATGTATCTCCCTTACATTTTTCATAGATCAATGTGCTGAGCCCCTTACTACATTATCTTATTTCATCTTTGTAGCAGCTCTTTCGGGTGTGAATATTATTGTTATTTTATAGATGAAGAAACCGAGGTCCAGAGAAGTAGGTTTCTTGCACAAAACCAATGGCAAAGATAGGTTTCACACTATGCCTGCCCATCTTCAAAATCCATGCTCTTTTAATTGGTGTATTGAGACCATTTACTTTTAATGTGATTACTGTAGTGTTTAGATTTCTAGACCTACTATTTCATTAATTGGTTTTCCAGTTGTTCCCTCATTTTTATTCTTCTGTTTACTCTTTCTTTTTATATTTCAACTTATGTTTTTGACTGTATCTCTTTATATAGTTTTTTTAGTGGTTACTCAAGAGATTATAATATGTATACTTAAGTTTTCACAGTGTACTTAGAAGCACTATTTCACAATTTTGAATAGAGAGTAGAAACCTTACTAGCACACTTACATCCCTCTATTCTCCCTCTTTTTAAGTTACAGTTGTCATACAGTACATCTATATACACTAAAACCCCATTAAACAATCTCATAATTTTTTGCTTTGAACTATAAAACATACTTTAGGGAATTTGAGAAAACAGTATTATATTTACCCATATATTTACTATTTCTAAGGCTTCTCTTTTACTCCTGATGTTCCAAATTTCCATCCGGTATCACTTCCCTTCTTCCAACTGATTATTCCTTTTGAAAAGCCTGTTAACCATGAATTATTTCCGTTTCTTTTCAATAGGAATATCTTAATATCCTTCAAAAATGAAGGTGAAATATTCACTAGATACAGAATACTGGGCTAATAATTCTTTATTCTCCAAACTTTAAGACTGCTGTTCTACTTCTTTCTGGCCTTTCTGGCTTCTAATGAGAATGACTGAATGATTCCCAATCATTCAAATTCTTGTTCCTCTAAAGCAATTTGTTGTTTTTCTCTAGCTGCTTTTAAGATTTTTCTTGTCTTTAAGACTTTTCAGTAGTTTGATTATAATATGTTTGGGTAAGGACTTCTTTGGGCTTATCTTATTTATGGTTTACTGAGCTTTCTGAATCTGTAGGTTTATGTCTTTTGCCAAATATGAAGTTTTCAGCCATTATTTTCTTTAAATATTTCTCTACACTGCACTTGTTTCCCTCTCCTTCTAGGACTCCAATGGCCCCAATGTTAGACTTTTATAATTGTCCGTAGGCCCCTAAGACTTTATTTTCCATTTTTTAAAATCTGTTTTTCAGATAGGACAATTTATACTGATCCATCTTCAAGTTCACTGATTCTTTCCTTAGTCAAATCCATTCTGTTACTGATTCATCCAGTGAGGTGTTTGGTTATTGGATTTTTCAATTCTAAAATT